GCTGGGCCCGGTGGGGGAGGGCGTGGCGGGGGGCGAAATACTGTTATTACTAGTTTTCCTCAAGTCCATCATTTAGTCATTTTGAAGTCTATTCGAGTGACCTTCTTCCACTCCAACTGTATTCACCGGGACAATTCTTGTTACACAACAACACACAAGTTGCAAGCTAAAGGCTAGCTACTGCTAGAAGACAATTGACCTGTAATTGACCTCAACTTTTAACTAAATCATTCAATTATTCAATTTTTTATTATAAATATTCAAAATATGCAAATACAAATTGGTTGGTCTCTGTTATATTTTTGGCATCATCTCAATGAATAACTTTGGAAGCATCTTAATGTATCTTAATGTAGCAGCATTTAATTGTTAAGGAAAACCAATGCAAAGGTAAGCAGGTGATGCTGGAAAGACATAAAACAATGCACACGTAATTTTCATGTGCTTATGCACACTGATTTTCATTCTAGGATTTAAAAGAACTTTATCACAGAACCATAAGGGTTGAAAAAGACCTTTAAAGGTCATCTAGTCCAGCGATGGGCAGGAACGCCTTCCACTAGGCCAGGTTGCTCCAAGCCCCATCCAACCTGGCCTTGGACACTGAGGGATGGGGCAACCACAGCTTCTCTGGGCACCCTTTTCCAGGGCCTTCCCACACACACAGGGAAGAATGTCTTCTTTCTATTTAGTATGAACCTATACTCTTAGGTTAAAGCCATTGCCTTCTGTCTCATTACTACAGAACTTACTAAAAAGTCTGTCTGCATTCAACTATTCATCAAGTAAAGGAGTTGGAAAAGCACAGCTACATTTTTACTTTTAAAAACTATGACAACTGAATCTATTCGTGTAGATGCTGGAGGTTCAACTCCATGTGCCATCAGACATGTAAGCATTAAGCTGCTATTGGAAAGATCTGCTGCAGGTCCTCAAGCTCAGGGACCTGATCAACTGTCTCCTGTAAAGCACTTCAGATTGAATGCTCTGAGTTGGACGTACGGAAACTTTTCTGAAAGAAGGTCTTTAAAAGGAAGGGGAGAAAAAATTAAAAAAAAAAAACAAAACATGGTCTTCTTCTGCACCCTAGCAGCCAGATGGTTGGTCTTTCACTGCAATTTAAAGAATTTCTACCTCCTTGATTATGGGACTACACTTAGCACTGAAGTAGAATTTATCTAAGACGGGATGGTCTCCCTCAGCAGGAGAGCAGTCCAGAGGAGATGAGTCTCCTCTATCAAAATCTCTGTACTGGCCTTGGGTTGATTTGAGGATTAGCTCGTTTTCTTTTTTGCTCTTTTTTTTTTTTCTGGAGGAGCAGGAGAGGTTGGTTGTTATGGGTCAGTTTGCTGCTTTGTTTTTATAATGACTTTGATAACTCCCATTGCCATTCTTAGGGAAGCATTTCATTCATGCACTGATTCCCAAAACCTCAAAAGGCTCTTCGCTCACAATGGACAAGGAGCTCTGGCTTTGGCTTATCCAAGCACTGGCTTTCATCTCTTTCCAAGAATTCAGTAATGCAGGTATCACTGCAGACATGCAGCACACCAGAAGCAGACAGCAGCATAAGCATAACGGCAGCATGAAGTAGCTTTAATATACTTGACAGCAGCAGCAACAACTCAGTCTTTAGCATAGGCTTTATCTTCTTATGAAGATGGACAGAGTTCTAGAGCTTTGTAAGCAAACACAAGCTGCTGACAGAGCACTACCATCATCTGCACAGTCTTCTTATCCATAAAAAAAAAAATTGTCTTCTGGAGGTGGACATGAGAATTTCACAAATCAACAACAGCACCACAACATGAGTCAGTATTGTCCATCTTCAGGCACCAGATTGTTCACTTCATATGCAACTGCCACCAGCCAAGCTAAAGAGCAGACCCAAATGTGACATGGAGCCACTACTAGGTTTATTTCCCTGTTCAAAGCCCATTACTTTCCTGATTCTGAAAACAAATGGATTGTAATGGTCTTCACATATGTGAGATTAGTCTTAACTGCTCTTGCATTGCTCTTGCAGATGTATCTCATTACCAACAGAGCCAGACAAAAATCCTTTGAAACCAAGTTGCCCATGCTTCTGTGCCTTCTTTAGACTGCTGTAGACCACTGTGATCCTTCACATGTTGAAAGGGAAACAAAAAGATAAACCTGCACTTTATTTATTCTTCTTTTGATGGACAACAGTAAGTCAACTCTTCCACAGAACATCAGCAGACAATCTTACGCCGGTGACCAGCTGATCAAAATGAAGCAATGCCAAGTGGTTCCACAGAGTTCTTCCAGTCTGGGCAGAACGAGCTCTTCTATCTCCTCCATACATGCCATTACAAGGCTTAGGAGCAGCAGGCAGGTGTTGATGGGCGCCTGACACCACTTAAGTGCTGCTTCCTGATGGTGCTTCTCATTTTCTAGACATGCGCCCACAAGAAACTCATCTTAAACAATGGTTTTGCCTCTTCTCAAGAGGTATTATTTTGGGGCATTCACTGGTGACATGCAAAAAATCTGACTGGAGGAAGATTATCACAATCCTGTTAAAAATAAACCTGCAAAACACTCAGTCACACACAAAGCCTGATGCTGCAGAGGGATGGTGGCCAGCACGATAGCACACACGCACTGTTCCGCAGAGGTCCGACCATGTGAGTTTGGTTGCCCAAGGGGCCTCCCCGTTCCTCCCAGGGCCTCTTGTCCCCACACACCAGCTCTCCGTGACGCGCAGACCTGCCCGCGGTACAAAAGGCGGTCCCCGGCAGGACCACGAAGGGCCCGGGCCCGGGGCAGGGGGCCGCTTAGCCCCACTGGCCCTCGTGGCTTCGGCCAGGCCCATGACACTGAGCCGGGGTCCCGAGCCGGCTGGATACCGCGGGCCCGCACCACCCCAGCCGGGTACTCACGAGTTGGTGTGCAGGTATTCGAAGGTAAGCTGGGCCCGGTTCAAGCTGCTGTAATTACCCAGGGACATGGCGCTAGTGGTCGCCATCGGGCCTGGGCCTGCGCCGCATGCACCGGCGGCCGCGCGCGCCTCGAGCCCGCCCCGCCCCGCCCCGCCCCCTGCCGGTCGTGCGGTGCGGTGCGGTGCGGTGCGGTGCGGTGCGGTGCGGTGCTACTTTGTCTCCGCCGCGCTGGGACCGCACCCTGCACCGCAACTGCCCCCGCGGGGCGGAGCCACGCGGCTGCCCCCCATTGGTCAAGAAGAGGCACGTGATGCAAGTGCCTCGGCGCGGCCAATGTGGGCTCTGCGCCGCCGCGTGACGATCGCGCGCGGCCGGGTGGGAGCGGCGGAGGTGGGTGAGTGCGGCGGTGAGTGCGGCGGTGAGTGCGGCGCGCGTGGCGGCTCCGGGGCCCTTCGCGGGATCCTTTTTTTCCCTTAGGCTCCGTCCCGGCGGCAGTCGAGAGCCTCAGCGCCGCGGGAGCGGCCGCCGCGGCCTCCTAGGGCGGGGGAGCGGCTGTGGTGGGGCCGGGCTGCGCGGTGAGGTGGCCTGGGAGCGGGAGCCCCCTCCGGCCATGGGCGAGCTCGCCGGGCGTGCGCGGAGGGCTCCAGCTGGCGGTGACTGCCGGGTGCCGGGTTGGAGCGGCTGAGGCCCGCCAGTCCCGAACGGCGGGAGTGGCTCCAGGACCCATCTGGACGGAAGGATCCCGCCGCTGGTCTCTTCAGAAGGTTCCGCGCGGATTTCGGCGGGTGCCGGTCCTGCTGCGCTGGTGAAGGCTCTGTGAAGTCACCGAGCAGAAGCTGCTGAAAGTGCCCGTACTTACCAAAAAGCATTAATGTAAAGGGTATATAAAATCATAAATATTCTTGCTTCGATTCTGTGCTTTTGGTTCACCTTGAAATGTGAAAGGATTGAGCTCAGGGGCTGTCCTACCTCTGTCCTGCACCCATCATTTCCCCCCTCTACCCTCGCAAAATTCAGCCTGAACGTGGGAATCCTGAAGACTAGGAATACTTGTCTGAGCACCTGACTTGTCCGGTGGAAAACAACTCCAATCGTTCTTCTGAAATGGACACTGAAACAGCATGGCTCTGTCTTGGATAATAGGAATCTGAACTTAATATCCAAAGTCTGAAGGAATTCAGTCTGTGCAGAAATTATTGTGGTATATTTCTTCTTGAAGAATGTCCAGCAAGAATGAAACATGTAAGATTGCAGATTTAAAAAGGATAAACGTTATTTGATACTTTTTTTATAGGGCACCAAAGGGAAAAGGTAAAGGTTTTGTTAAAAAAAAAAAAAAAGAGAAGCACTTTAATTTTGTCTGATAATTTCCCAACAATAGAATCTAACTCATTAGAGAAAAAAAAGGAGGCTATGGGAGTTGGGATTATTCAGCCTCGGGAAGAGAAGCATCCAGGGCGACTCTTCTGCAGCCTTTCAGTACCTATGGGGACTCCAAGGGAACTGGAGAGGGACTTTGGACAAGGGGTAATGGCTTCCCACTGCCAGAGGGCAGGGTTATTGGAATAATTAGAATAACTTCCATGGGACAGTGGCAAGGCCCTGGCACGGGGTGCCCATAGAAGCTGTTGCTGCTCCATCTCTGAAAGTGTGCAAGGCCAGGTTGGACAGGGCTTTTGAAGCAATGTGGCCTAGTAGAAGGTGTCCCTGCCCATGGCAGGGGGCATAACAAGATAAGTTTTAAGATCCTTTCCATCCCAAACCATTCTATGATTCTGTGATATCCAAGACGTGGTAAAAAGCTAAATTTAAATCTGTTACTTATGATTGGTAAATGGCTAAAAACTGACTTTCATATTTGAGTTGTTTGACCTCCATCCCCAGTTGAGTATGAACATGACCTAATAAGTCTGCAGCTTTGGCCTGAGAACTTCACTTCCCAGAACAGCATTTAGTTCTGTTTACCCTCAGTTTGGCCTGTTCAGGCCAGCAAAGTTGTATCATTCCTCCTGGCAGGGATTTCTCTGTGTGTTCTTGTGAAGGCGTGAAAAAATCACTCTGCATGTGTGTGCAGTGGCTCTTTTAGGCCTTATCTCTGAAAAGCTGTGCGCAGCAGGACATTGAACTGCATGAAAGAATTAGAAAAATTACTGTTGATGACTGTGTTTAGGTGTATTAGGTTTATGAGAATCAAGGAGTCTATTACAGATTGTAGCATCATCTAAGCTTTTATTTTGTTACATTGTAGTCAATGTCAGCAGCAGATGTTCAAAAGCAATATACATCCTGTGAGTGTAAGGGCAAGGTAATTACCAAAATATGTGTTCCTGCAGAACATGAGCCTGAACTTATGCATCATATCAACCTTGTCCTCTTAGGTAATCAGAGTGTCTCTGTGCCTACCAGGAACTTTGTCTCGTCATCTTACCTTCAGGGAGGAACCAGTGTTTCTTTCCTGGTGTTGGAGAGGCTGACATTATCTGAGTACTGCAGTGCTGTGGACAGAGCAGTTGAACACCTTCCTGCTGCTCCTATGGGATCTGACTTGTTCTGTAGATGGGCTAGCTGGATGCCAGTCCTTTCCATCTGGCCCTTGGTAGAAGACCAGTACAACGCAGTTCTATTTCATTTGGCCAGCCCAGGCAGGAAATTGCTCATTACCGTCTCACCATTTGGTGGCGATCAATCTGACAAAAGTGAAGCGAGAATTTAATTCTTACACTTTCCGTAGCTGTTCTGCAGTAGGTTTCAGACATGTTCCTGACTTCTGTTCTTTGGTCTCTCTTGCCCAAGTCTTGAAAAGTTTATACCTTCATTTGCTGGCTATCTCAGCTGACAGACATTGGCCCAAGGTGTAATGAAATGAATTCACCTTTTTTTAGCAAAGCAGCATTTAGGTTACGTCACAGCTCTGCCTTGGCCACGGCAGAGCCAAGCTTTGATAGGAACCTCTCTGTCTGTGGATGGAGACATAACAGGCTTGTTTGGCCTGTGTCCCACTGCTGCAAATTACTGCATTTCTCAGTACTTTAAAGAGGTGAAAGTCTTCCCACTGGAAATTCACCTTTGTCCTCTTTTGGGGCAGCTGTTTTTCCTTGGAAACTCCCTAAACTTTGTTTAAATAGTTCTAGATCTTTCAGTTATACTGGTTATGACAGGTAACCTCCCTTTTTGTTTGTTTTTTTTTTTCCTTCTGCTACCAGCACCATTTCCCTGAGTTTCTGTTCAGTCCCAGGATCTCTGCATCTTATAGTAATGAGCAAAACAAGTCTGTCTGCTCAGGTGTCACAGGCAGTACCCCCTCATTTTTGAAGTCTCCAGTGCAGTAGAAGGCAGCAGTTTGCTCTGGTGCACATAACTTTCCTCGTAAATGACCTGTGGGTTGGTGGTTTGTGCAGCCTGTACAAGTGGAGCTTGGGGCAAACTGTACTGCTGTTCTTTAACCCTAAGGCTGAGTTTCTTACTCTGAAATAATCCCCAACTTCCCTTGTAAAACTAGTCTTTTGATTCCACACATTTTGATTCAAAATCTATGTTTCTAGGCTGTGGTGTGAGTTCCCATGCAGTCCTATGTAGAGTTTGCTGGGTGGTGCTTACTCTGGCACAGCATTTTGTTAAGCCTCTTTCCACTGGAGCCCAGGCCATAGCCTGAGGTCATTGAAGAGTTTATTTATGTGGCCACTGTTCTGCAAGTTGAAGCTAGCCGCTTCTACACCTCTGTGGGCCTTGAGTCAACAATTGTTCTTTTTCTCCCTATTTTTTAAGAAGCTAGCCTGCTAAGCCAATACTTAATGCAGGAGTCATCATAGTGGTAAGTACTAGATTCTGCACCAGACAAGTGCCATGAGTGCAACAAAGTGCCTTTTACACACTCCTGTGAGGTCTCCCATGTTAACTGTAGCTTTATTCTGTGTTTATGTACATAAAGAAATGTAAAATTTTGCATTGTAGAAATTAGATTTTCAGTGTCAGAATGAAATAAGCGGGCAGTGAAAAATAAATCTGAGACACACCAGTAATCCTCAGGTGTTTACTGGTCCTACCTTTAGCCTTTGTTTTTCTGGAAGGAAAAAGTGGCATTGCCTTTGGATGCAGAGTCCTCTGTCTTACCTCATGACAGAAACTGCTAAAGTTGCAGGTCAGTATTGTTCTACTGAGCATTCACCTTGGTACTTCTAAGAAGATTGGGTGCAGTTGCAAGCCCCAGTAATCAGATTGGCATGGATCTCTTTTCCATTGCCCTGAGTTTGTAGAGAGAATTTCAAAGCAGCTTCCTTTAATGAGCTTGAAGTCATGTTGCCTCACAGCTTTTTGGTTCATTCTTTCATGTCATGCTGTATGCTGCCTCTGCTGTGTGATGAGTTCCCATTGTCTCCCAGTACAGAATGGGAAGTTCAGCCATGGGTACAGAATGCTGCTACCTCCAGCGTGGGGTGTTGTCCTTTAGACAGAGCATGCCAGTCTCACTCACACAGAAGAGCTATGTCAAAAAGCGTCAGAAGCATTCCTTTTCTTGGGCATGAGTTGTATCTCCATGTCAGTTCAATACAATCCAAAAACACAACCCTGAAGTCAAACATTTAGAAGGAAGTGTTTTCCTCCTGGCTTTTCCTAGTAAGAAGTTATTCCCTGTATGACCTGGGGCAGCCCTATTTCTTGTGTTCATAGGCACATCTGCCCCGCTTCTCCATTGTTCGCATCAAATAACAGAGCAATTTGCTGACTAAATGTATCATGAAGTTGCACCTCTCTTCATGGAAGTGTCTTTTTCTCCTGTGTTGGGAAGCCTAAACCCTGCAGTTCTTCTCTGGAACAGTAGTTTTATGAACAGTCTGTGTATCAGTCCTTACAAGACATGCAGAGTGAGATATTCAAAGATGAGTGCCTAAACATGTGTGGAAGGTACTGGCATAGCAGTTCAGAGACCTGTTGTGCCAGGTGTCAATCTCCCAATGCTTTGTTTTCAGGGAATGTCACATCATGGATTTAAATTAATTATTTCAGTCTAGGTGCCGTTCTCAGTCAGACACTGGTTGTCAGGAATTACTTTGTAAATGAGTTTGCAAAAGAGTGGAAAGGGTGATTGAGAGCAGGGAGACATCATGGAGTGAATTGTCAGCAGAATGGTGAACAGGGAGGATCTTCTACTGCCAGTCAGGC